ACACACACCACACACACACACACCAACACACACACACACACACACACACACACACCACACACACACACACACACACACACACACCACACACACACACACATCACAACCACACACACACACACACACACACACACACACACACACACACACACACACACACACACACACACACAACTTGTTTGTTTGTCTTTATTGCTGCTACTCATTTTAAGCCATGGTTGTTTTATTGTCTTCATTTTAAATGTCACGCTTCCTTCCTTTGTTTTTATCAAGCCACTAGACACCTAATGCCCCGCTCACACGGGACCGTTTGCGTTTATGCACAGTATGCGTATTTAAAAAAGTCTTCCGTTCACATGCATTTGTTTCATTTAACGTGTCTGTTCAAACGAGGCCGCTGGAAACGCTGTAGTACATATGCCGGGACTGTAAGTGGCGCTGTAACTTCCGCCAAAATACACCAAAAGCCGCGAAGAAGAGCAGCCCCAGCAGCCCCCGCCGCAATGTTGCCATGGCTACCCTTCTGTTCATGCCCCGCGGTGTATTTAGCAACATGTAGTTCATGTAATTCTCCATGTCCACTTGTTGCTGATGGTTGTGGTAGAGGAGCTGTAGATGTTGCACTAATATCTGTAGCATGGTCAGTAGCAGTAGCACTAGCAGTAGCTACTGACAGGAGGAAGTGTGTGTGGTGATTGCTGGTATTCAGCGGGATATAGTCATTTCCTCAGCATATGGATAAATGCAACGGGGAAGTTAACTGAAAGAAACCGAATCTGTGGATATTGCATCGAGAGGACGGCTCAGAAAGAGAGATATTCTCTACAAACACCGGGTGAGATCCTCCTTTGTCAATATAATGGATCAATGCATGAAATCTGACTCTGTTTATTTTGTTTAAGGAGTATATTGGGCGTTAACAATTCTGGTTTGTCTTTTATAATATTATTTCATTCAAGAACCCCTTGTGCGTTTAATTAACACAGCTATTTTTGATAGTTGCTACAGCAGTGAGCAGGAGAGGTGGGGAGAGGCGGGGCTATCGTTATTTTTTCAGGAAATATTCGTATCGAGGTGATTACACGGACTCGGTTGACCCCCCAGAGCGTTTCGTTTGCAAATCTATCCACCTTGGGACCCGTTATTGTTTGTGGGGTCAGTTTCTATCGGCCTCGTGTAAATAATAGGGCTATACGCACGCGAAACTATGCAGATACAAGCAGTTTTCTCCTCGTGTAAACGGCGCCTAAAGCTCCTTACACACCAAGCCGATTTTCGCCGTCGATGGATGTCAGGCCGTCGATGAGCGTCCTGTCGCCCTACTCAGATTGGTGTGTACCGCACCGTCGTGTCTTTTCGGCCGTGCCGACACCTTCCGCCTCCCGATTCAACATGTTGAATCGGGAGGCCGTCGGCCAAATAAATCCCTCTGATTGGCTGTTCAGCTAGCGAATCAGTGCATGAGAAGCGAAACGGAAGTGAGGGACCCTAACAAACTATTAAGAAGGCAAATCTGAGATGTCATTTACCTCCAGCTCTCGACTCAGGTTGGGGAAAGCCCCGTGAGCTTCTGGCTGTAGAGTGAACATGGAACGCACACTATTTGTTGTTTGTTTATATCACGCAGTCTGTTCTTCTTCTCTCGGTGTGTCACGCAGTCTGTCTTCCAGTTGTTGCCTCTTTTGAATGACGAATACACACTACCGTCTCTAGGTGTCTCTCACCTGTCTGTCTCTCTACCTGTGTGCCCCTACCTGTCTGTCTCACCTGTCTCTCACCTGTCTCTCTCACCTATCAGTCTCTCACCTGTCTCTCACCTGTCTCTCTCACCTATCAGTCTCTCACCTGTCTCTCACCTGTCTCTCACCTGTCTCTCTCACCTATCAGTCTCTCACCTGTCTCTCACCTGTCTCTCTCACCTATCAGTCTCTCACCTGTCTCTCACCTGTCTCTCACCTGTCTCTCTCACCTATCAGTCTCTCACCTGTCTCTCACCTGTCTCTCTCACCTATCAGTCTCTCACCTGTCTCTTCCTGTCTCTACCTGTCTCTACCTGTCTCTACCTGTCTCTCTCACCTGTCTCTCTCACCTATCAGTCTCTCACCTGTCTCTCACCTGTCTCTCTCACCTATCAGTCTCTCACCTGTCTCTCTCACCTGTCTCTCTCACCTGTGTCTCTCACCTGTGTCTCTCACCTGTCTCTCTCACCTATCAGTCTCTCACCTGTCTCTCTCACCTATCAGTCTCTCACCTGTCTCTACCTGTCTCTACCTGTCTCTCACCTGTCTCTCTCACCTATCAGTCTCTCACCTGTCTCTACCTGTCTCTCACCTGTCTCTCTCACCTATCAGTCTCTCACCTGTCTCTCACCTGTCTGTCCCTACCCGTCTGTCTCACCTGTCTCTCACACCTATCAGTCTCTCACCTGTCTCTCTCACCTATCAGTCTCTCACCTGTCTGTCTCTCTACCTGTCTGTCTCACCTGTCTGTCTCTCACCTGTCTCTACCTGTCCATCTCTCACCTGTCCGTCTCTCACCTTTCACCTATGCCACTTTATGGCTGTAACACGGTTAACGTCCCGCTGCAGGACTAATAAAGGATTTCTGATTCTGATGGTTTTTATACACGATCACCTAAAAACACACCATCTTCAAATCACGTCTCAAATCACGTCTCTTCAAACTGGCGTATCCACCCTGATCACATCACACGTCCTCTGCTTTTCGGTTTCTATTGATTGATTATGATGTCGGGTTTTTCGACTTTTGTTTTGTGTTTTGTGTACCTTGTATGGCGAGCTTTGAAAGGTGCCTTTATAAATAAAATGTATTATTATGAATACCTGTTTGCGGCCCAGGTCGGTGAGCATGAGTCCGTTCTCTCCCTGGATGCAGTCCGGCAGCTGTTTGCAGTTCCCTTCGTCCTGACAGGAGCCCAGAGTGGAGATGAGCTGAGTCAGCTGACCCTGGTTCAGCTACAAGAGAAGAACAAAACAAACAATTAACCAGCAGTCAACGGCAACAACAACAACAACACCATGAATCCACGTCATCAAGTAATGTCATAAACTAGATCTGGGATCATCTTTACCAGTCGATTATCTACTACAGTGGTTCTCAAAGTGTGTCATTATTAGTCTGTCATTTGTTATAAACTGTTGGAGTGGTGAGCAGGCCTTTTGTTTTTTGATATTTGGGGAGTTGAGGAGTCTTTGTATTGGTTAAGTGGTCCTGGGTATGAAAAGGTTTGAGAAACACTGGTCTACTTCAAAATATAACTCCACTGATCAATGTCTGACCTTGAAGATTTGACACAGGTGCTCCAGCGCTCGGTCCAGGAACTCGTGGGTTTTCTTCAAACACTCGCCGCTCTCCTCGGGCTCGGCGCCGGAGAACGTGTTGTTCAGGTCCGAGGATCCCACCCCGAACCACGAGAGGAACGAGTTGCTGGCCGCCACCTCGTTGGAGTGATCAGAAATCCTCTTGGCCGTCTGTCGGGCCTGGGCGATGATTTGGATCAACTTCATGACCTGCAAGATGGACGAAAAGGATTTAGACGCTCAAGTAGGGCTAAACAGTCATATTTCTTTGTTGGACCCTGAAGGCAGCATCTCCCTGGTCCAATGGGATTTCTCCATGTGATTTTGGATTATTGTCGAACAAACGTTTATGTTTACATGTTTAGTTCAGCAGGATAATCTCCACATATTAACACCAGTTCATGATTTGTGAAGTAAAAAGCTAATGTTGGGCTATAAAGGAACTACAGCACGGTCACATGACTTCACGCCACCACCGCTAAGCTAAAGGAGGCTAACGTTGGGCTATAATGGAACTACAGCATGGTCACATGACTTCACGTCACCACCGCTAAGCTAAAGGAGGCTAACGTTGGGCTATAATGGAACTACAGCACGGTCACATGACTTCACACCACCACCGCTAAGCTAAAGGAGGCTAATGTTGGGCTATAAAGGAACTACAGCACGGTCACATGACTTCACGTCACCACCGCTAAGCTAAAGGAGGCTAATGTTGGGCTATAATGGAACTACAGCACAGTCACATGACTTCACGCCACCACCGCTAAGCTAAAGGAGGCTAATGTTGGGCTATAAAGGAACTGAACTGAACGTACCGCTCCTCTGAGCTCGTTTCCGAACATCTGCTTGTACTGGCAGTCTTGTCCCTCCAGAGCGTAGACGTGACTCTTCACCCTGAACACCATGTCTGTCACCACGCGTTGCCGTGACGACAGGAAGCTGCCTCCCTGATTCGGCGTCAGGTATCCTCTCGGCTGCCGGTGATGAAGGACGTGCTCCGGCTCCAGAAACAGCTGCTCTCCTGGGGACACACGATGGGGTTGTTTAGAGCATTTATTAAACAAATATAACACCCAAACTAAACACAAATAAACTCTTTTAGACGTATAAACTGCTATCGGTGACATCACGTCTTTATTAGCTGTTAAACACCTGAACTAGAACATCCATAACATTCATCTGTTTGCAACTTACAAATTATTTATCTAATATATCATATTCCAATTACTTGTATATAGACTCTGATTGCACTCTTTCTATTCTGTTTTATTTGTATTTATTTGTATTTACTTGCACTATTTTATCTGTCTTATTGTGTTGCTCTGTTGGAGGAGCCTGTGACCTCAGATTTTCATCAACAGATCTTCACCGTAGCTATGTACGAATGACAATAAAAGCCTTGAATCGTATCTCCCGTTTGAGTTTCTGCGCTCACCTTTCTGGATCATGTCGGCGAGGTTTGGCTGAGCGAACACTTTGGAGACTCTGAAAACCATCAGAGCGTTTTTGGCGTTGACCAGATCGGTCCTGACGGCTCGGTTCAGCAGAACCTGGAAGAGCTTGGTGTACATGAGGAGGTTCTCCTGCACAAAGGACTCCCTTCAACGAGAACATCAGCACCGTCAATACAACACGACAAATATCCTGCAGCACACTGTTAGGCAAAATCCACTTCTTCATGTCTCTTATACATACACGTGTCCCCTCTGTAAAGGGTCCGGAACACAAAGATTCTCTCTCTTTTTGATCCATTTATATAAAAACCTGTCTGAAAATGAGCTGATCAGATTTTGGCCACTTGATGATGTCATAACGATGTTTTGGCTTGTGTAACCATTAGCCAATCAGCAACCAAGGTAACCCCCCCCCCCTTATCACCTGCATCTCCTCCTAGAGCACCATTGTGTTCTTTGTAACCAAATGTCTCTCAGAGGGGCGTGGGGAGGGGCTCCTTATTTTCATCTAAAGTAACAGACAGAGAATCAGCACTTTGGAAACAGGGCTGAAACAGAGGGGATTATGGGTAATGCTGCAATGATCTGTTTGGTGTTTCAGCCAATCAGAGACAGGCTCTGTATATATCTGAGACCTGTGATATATTGATTAAAAACAGTATAATAGGGGACCTTTAAACATGTTTATTGCACTACAAATAATTACATACTGTAATTTCATTTGTCTTATTCATGTCTGTAGGGAAAATAAAGACCACTTCATGGATTATTCTTTTTTTTATTATTATTATTCTAAAATAAATGTATTTTAAATCCCCTCCGACTCACCATTTCTCTGGCACCGTTCTGTTCTGGTCGGCCTGAGGGTTGATCTTCTCTCCGGTGTATCTCCACGGCTGGATGTAGCTGAGCCACGTCTCCAACACCTGAACACACAAATAAATCATTCTTAAAAGTCAGATGGAAGTTGTTGCCTCTTCTGAGATAGGAGAGGGCAGGGCATCATGTATGTTGTTGGTACAGACAAGAGGACACACATGTGTTGTCTCCTCTATCCTTCGAGGGGCAAAGAGCAACAACTGTGCGGAGGAAGTACGTGACTTTTCAGAGATGTTCCCGACACCTGCTGACGATGCTGGCGCCAACTCGATGTACGACTTTGTTGCTATCTCCTAACTCTGGACTATATAAGCTTGATGTTATCCCCTCTCCGTTGAGCAGCATCCCTCATGTGTGTGAGTTGAACCATATCCTTTGTATGTGACTTAACTCTGCTCCTTCTTGCAAGAATAAATTAGTACCTGACTATTGATTCTCAACCCGGTGTCGAGTGATATTTTCCTAACAGAAGTTAAATATAGTAGATCTGAGTATGAAAGTGTTCTGTGTGAGACGTACCGCTCTGAAGGAGGCGTCCAGAGGCCAGTGGCCGAAGCAGTGCTGCAGGAACAGGTAGAGCTTCTGCTGCACGAAGCGCTGCACCACCACTCTGAGGAGGACATTTAGGGCTCGTTCATAATCCAGAAAGGTTGGAATCAATTCAAGTATTACAGCTCTGCTCCCAGAGTCCCCAGTATGAATGACGCCTATGCAGAAATACAGTTTTGCAGTCTGACAGATATCAGGTACAGGGTATCTGCACATTTTTTAAGTACACATTTAATGACTTTTAAGACCTTTTTAAGACCTCTAAAAAGAAAAAATAATACCAATACAAAAATATCGATGAACAGTGGAAGTGAAGTGGGCCCTGAAGACTTTGCCAGAGCAGATATATTAGTTGTTGTAACAGCCAAACTAGAAGTAGCACTAACGGACAACTCTATGGGCATTGCACTCCTTTGAGTACCAGCATAGCGCTTGTGTTTTTCCGATCTCATGTGCGAATCTAATGCTTTGCACCCCATTGTGCCAAGTTTGAATCGCGCCTTATAGGAGCAACTGGACGGTTTCAGCCACGATACTTGTCGTCCCCCAACCACTTGTCATTACATTTGCATTTACCCATTGTTTTAACCTGTTCTCAGCTTCGTGTTCCTTTTTTGTCCGCGGCAGCCTGAAGCTAGATAAACACGTTCTTCTTCTTCTTCTACCTTAAAATGCGGATCACAGCCACGCGAGCCGTTCTACCGCCACTTACTAAGCGGAGGGTGCGCTAGCTAGCCTACCTATTTCACGTACAAAACAAATAGGTATTGGAAGTTGCAGGATATCAAATAATGTTACCAGTAAAATAAAACATACATATTTAACCAAAAGTAGACACACTCATTCATTCTGCCCCAAATAAAATGTAATACCTCGAGTCCAAAAATTCCAGACCTTTTTAGATCTTTTTAGACCTTGAATATCAAAAAATAAATGTAAGACTTTTAAGACTTTTTAAGGATCCGCGGGGACCCTGCAGATATCAGTATTTCTGACAGATATGAGTACCTCTTGAACTCCTCCAGGGGGCTGGTGTGAGTGTGTGTGTGTGAGTGTGTCGGGGGGGAAGAGGTCAGCTGATCCGGCTTCAGGCTGTTTGAGAAGGCGTGGAGGTTTTTCACCAGGAGACGAACCACCAACACGTGTTCCTCCGTGGGGCTGAACGGCTCCTGGAGAGAGACAAACAGTCACTAAGAGCTTCATAAACACACACACACACACAGTGCAGCCAATCAGCTCTCAGGTACACAAGCAGCCAATCAGAACGCAGCCCAGTCCCAAAGCAGGCAAACTATCAACCAAAGCGTGGTTTAATTGTTCTATTTAGAGTACAGAGGTCTCACAGATCATAGGTAGTTACAATAACAAATTATTATGATTATCATTCATTACTTTACCAAGTTGAGGTATTAAAACAGTTTCAGGTTTTGTCAATGCTCTACAAAAATAAAAGTAAATCCAGTATACAATTTACTCCTTTGATACTAGATGTGGAGACACAGTATTATATTATATTAAATGACAGAATGAAAGGTGGGACCTCCGTGCTCCATTAGCTGCTAAAACAAAGCTAAATGATGCAAAATGTCATATAATGCAACGAAACACAAACCCTACCTGAAGGACGTTCAATACAAATATTTAAAGGAATGTACAGCCGATAATTAAATGATTTAATGACTGGCATGTTAAATTAATGATTGTTCAGAGTGTAGTAGTGTCTTTGCTCTTCTAAGATAATTATACAGATAACATCATCAAACCACTTCAACATGCACGAAGCAACGAAGCAACGAAGCACACCAGTGTAAAAAGCATGCCTTTAAAAAAACAGACCCACATACAAACCAGTAAAAAAAAAAAAAGCTCAAATACTCAGATTACAAAGCTGCATTACAGGATTACTTTTCCCCGTCAAGGATACTTCTCTGCAGAGAGTCATCGTCAAAAGAGCCTGTAATGAATAGGGAACTAATGCCATTTAAAGGTGGGGTATGTCATTTTGGAGAAACCAGCTCGAGTGCGCTAGAATTTGAAAATACACAGCTGGAAAAAATCTGCCACTTCCTTCCAGAGCCCCTCCTCCAACACACACGAACGCGCACATGACCAATGAGGGCACGAGATAAGTTTGTGCACAGATGGAAGGCTGACAGGCAGGTAGGCCATCTAGTTATTTTAGCCGGGCCGGCTCAGATGATTGGTCGTGCTTTTTACAGTACTACAGCTTCCTCAGATGATATTTATTTATGGATTTTTTGTCAAAGCACTTCAGATATTCATTGCTATCAGGATGTTAAGAGCATTCCATGGAATATAACAACAAGTGTATCTCGAGCCGGTTTCTCAAACTTACCTACCCCACCTTTAATAAAAGGTGGTTGTCTTTATCAATTGGGTTTGTTTTTGAAAATATTTAATGCATCAGACATTAGCATCTCCCTGGTTCCCTCCACAAAAAGCTAATGGGTTTTCTTCATGGGATCCTTATAGGCTATAAAGGAACTACAGCAAGGTCACATGACTTCACGTCACCACCTCTAAGCTAAAGGTGGCTAATGTTGGGCTATAAAGGAACTACAGCACGGTCACATGACTTCACGTCACCACCGCTAAGCTAAAGGCGGCTAATGTTGGGCTATAAAGGAACTACAGCACGGTCACATGACTTCACGTCACCACCGCTAAGCTAAAGGTGGCTAATGTTGGGCTATAAAGGAACTACAGCACGGTCACATGACTTCACGTCACCACCGCTAAGCTAAAGGTGGCTAATGTTGGGCTATAAAGGAACTACAGCACGGTCACATGACTTCACGTCACCACCGCTAAGCTAAAGGCGGCTAATGTTGGGCTATAAAGGAACTACAGCACGGTCACATGACTTCACGTCACCACCGCTAAGCTAAAGGTGGCTAATGTTGGGCTATAAAGGAACTACAGCACGGTCACATGACTTCACGTCACCACCGCTAAGCTAAAGGAGGCTAATGTTGGGCTATAAAGAAACTACAGCACGGTCACATGACTTCACGTCACCACCGCTAAGCTAAAGGAGGCTAATGTTGGGCTATAAAGAAACTACAGCACGGTCACATGACTTCACGTCACCACCGCTAAGCTAAAGGAGGCTAATGTTGGGCTATAAAGAAACTACAGCACGGTCACATGACTTCACGTCACCACCGCTAAGCTAAAGGAGGCTAATGTTGGGCTATAAAGGAACTACAGCACGGTCACATGACTTCACGTCTCCACCGCTAAGCTAAAGGAGGCTAATGTTGGGCGTGATGACGTTTAGTTGTCTCATTTAGACACTTGCTAGCAACCTTTTTTTTTTAAATCCACCAGTGGGGGATTTACCGACGTATTTTATGTCGTAGAATAAAAATCTCTTTAGCATCTTATAACCACAGACTTAACCAAAAAACATTGACTTCCAGAAGAGCTAACCACGAATGCTAACCTGCTATTTTCCAGGTTTTAGGAATCATTCCTGCACCCCTCTTTATGAGAGAAGTATCCTTGACGTTGACCCTGACGGAGCTTTACCTCCAGGAGACCCCAGAGGGACAGGGGTGAATGAAAAGGTAATAGTACTTGGTAGGTGTTGAGGGTCCCAGAGCCTGGTGGGGTGAAGGGTTGGCTCGGCATGCTGGACATACTGAGGCGGTACTGAAGCAACGCCAACTTCTCCCCCGTTACCACCAGGGGGGAGAGGAAGAGGAGAAGGAGGAGGAGGAAGAGGAGGAGGAGGAAGAAGGAACAGACAAGATGGCGGGAGGAAGGTACACATGAGAACAGAGGAAAAAAGAAACAGCGAAAACAGAGAGAGCAGCGGGACAAAAATATTGGCCGAGAGGAAACAAACAGGAAGAGGATGAAGAGGAGGAAGAGGAGGAAGAGAACAGACAAGATGGAGGAAGGTAAACATGAGAACAGAGAAAAAGGAACAGTGAGAACAGAGAAGGACACATTGTGCGAGAGGAAGCAGGAGGGAGACAAACAGACAAACCGATCACATGATGACTGAGGGAACAAACACTTTCACAGGGAGGGGAATCTTTTCACTCCGTAAACAACTGGTGTGTTTGTCAACAAATGCTAAGAATTATTTGAGTTGTGATGTAAACATGGTTCCAGGTGAAGCAACAGGAAGTGTGTGGCTGTGTTTGTGCATTTCAATAAGTAAATGAAATACAAATAATTGAAAAAATACTCATATGTATTATCTAAAAGTAATTCCCATTCCTGTTGTTTAACATCAAAAACAGTAAACTCAAAACTGTAAGACTTTGTCAGAAATAAACAGCAATGACCAATCAATCAATCGATCATATAACTTCATGCATATTAAACTAATTACATGTAATACTACAGCAGGGGTTTTTCTAGAAATATATAGTATAGATGAGAGTAACACCTACGTCACTTCCGGGCGAAAATTACGGCTCCGCCCACTTTTGGCGGAAAACAACGCAGTCATTTGAACGGCGGTCGATACAAATTCTGAAGTTTTTGCCAAAACGATCAGAAATGTTTGAAAACCGTGGATTTGTGGATCTTCAAAGAGCCCGATTACGATGGCCAGACAGGCAAACAATTACATTAAGTCATTGGAAATCGACGATCGGGCTCGATATACGGTTACATTAAAAATCAGTAGGCGAGGCCGTCATTTCGCCAGCTGTTTCTCTCATGAGCGAGGCGGAAAATAATTGTTGTATCACGCCAACAAGCTGCTGTGTCGTTTATTGCACCTCAAACATTAAAACAAATCCAGAATTACGTTGTTCTGTACTGCCTCTAAGAAAAAAGGACTTCAGGCTTGATCGCCATTCAAATGACAGCGTTGTTTTCCCCCAAAAGTGGGCGGGGCCGTAAAGTAGGGCTGCTCGATTATGGCAAAAATCATAATCTCGATTATTTGGGTCAATAATTGATATCACGATTATTAAAAACGATTATCCATTTACTTTGAAAACATCAATTTATTGGAGAAAAACATTTTGAACAGTATGTTTTTAACAGTTGATTACCCTGAACTTTAAGTATAATTCAACTGAAAAACTAATTAAAAAAAAATAATCGTTTTATTTCGTAATCGTTGCAAGCCATAATCGTAATTGCGATTAAAATACGATTAATTGAGCAGCCCTACCGTAAAGTGACGTAGATGTTACTCTCATGTATGGACATCGATGGCCTACTGCTATATGTAACCATATATCGAGCCCGATCGTCGATTTCAAATGATTTAATGTAATTGTTCGCCTGTCTGGCCATCGTAATCGGGCTCTTTGAAGATCCACAAATCCACGGTTTCTTACATTTCTGATTGGATTGGCAAAAACTTCAGAATTTGAATTGACCGCCAATCAAATGACAGCGTTGTTTTCCCCCAAAAGTGGGCGGAGCCGTCATTTCTGCCCAGAAGTGACGCATGTGTTACTCTCATGTATAAGGTGATAGTGACACTGTGGATGTTGTTCAATCTGACGCTCTGTTTGATAATCATATTTCTGGAGTCATTATACCGTTTTTGAGGAACAGAAATGTTGTTTTCTGGCATCACTTTAACATTTTACGGGTGCAGACAAAACCCTGATATATAATATGTAAACAGAGAAAAGTGTGTTAAATATTATCTGCAAATCTGATTATATATATTAAGAAGTTTGGGTATAGTCCAAAGTAAAATCAACTTGGCCAAAATCTTGCAGTTTGAGTTTACTCTTCACAAACACAGAACACAGTTAATAATATATATGTTAGGGTAATTAGCATTTAGTACATGACAGGTTTACAATGTTATAATGCAGGAGATCGGTCAGCATGCTACAGGAGGAGTTAAAGGAACTGTTTCCTACGCAGTCTTATGAAGCAGTAATACATGTTTTACTTGCCTTTAAATGCCTAATTTGACATTTACAGCTTTTTAAATTGAGGATTTGTAACTTTTTCTTCCTATAATACACTGAATATCTTATGGATGTGGCAAAAAAACGACGACAAATCTGCACATTTCTGGAATAAACATTTGGTTTCTGTGAGAAATCTGTAAAAAAGAAACAAGCTCCATCCCTGGTATCTTAAAGATGGGCTTTCTAGATGTCATATTAGCAGCCAAAATATCACCTGCAATGATTTCATATTGAAAAACAAGATATCTCCAGATTTGAGAGGCCAATTTTATTATGTTTTCTGATGAAGCGATGCAGCTGTTAACCTCACTAATAAACAATCAATGACGCCTTCAATTGAACAACAACTCCTCCATTGTTTCAGACACAGTTGGAAGTAACTGCAGGAAATAATACTGCTGCATAAAACCAGAGGAAACAGAGACACCGGGTGAAGTGAGCAGCGTCCACATCTCTATCAATTGTACATTACTATAATGTCTCGTTATGAATATTGTACGCATCAAGCAGGTAAACAAGCAACACCAGCATAAAGCCTCACTGCCGTCCCGTCAATAGAGCCTGAAGGAAGCTGCTGGTTCCCTCTACAAAAAGCAACGGGATTTCTCCAGAGGATTTAGGAAAATAGCTGGAAAATAATGTCTGTGGAAAACGAACCTGTTTGATAAATGCACGTTTTGTTCAGCCGGATAATCTCCACATGTCTACCCTACTTTTATAATGTTCTAATCATAAATCTAATGGCCAGAAGCAAAATGCTAACGTGATGCTATAAAGGAACTACAGCCGAGTACAGCAGCACGACTTCAACGTCACGCCAACTTAAAGTGGACCTATCATGCTATATTATAATAATATAGTGTAGGACCATACCTATATAAGGCATATTTATACTTTTTTTTTTTCAAAATACCAAACAGATCATGCATTTTAGCCATGCCTCATTTTGCTCAATTTGCACTTTTATAGCTCTGTTTTAGCAAGGGCAGATTCAGTGAGAACAGCACCATCTACAGGCCTGGCATATGTACTACATCGTCTCCAGGGCTTTCGAACGGCAATGGCCGTGGCTGTCTCCTCCTGATTGGTGGAGTTGGCCCAATAGCCGTAGCGCCACCGTCCTGACGTCAGGACAGTGTTCAAATCTGGATCAGTTTTTATCAGATCCGTTGCAGCCCCTTTTTTAGAGATTTGGGTATGGAGGAAAATAGAGAGGGTTGTGTTTTCTGACACTTGGTGAGTTCCCTGGAACACCGGGGACACATATTCATGTAGAAAAGACGTACAAAAGTGCATTTTGCATGATAGGTCCCCTTTAAGATCCATATTCAAACACACAGATTATAAATGGTACAAGTTGAAGCGTTTGTTTGAACAGTCTGCAGGAGGCAGGGACTTGCTTTAAAGCAGAACAGGGCTAACTAACTTAGAGGAGTGTTTACGTGTTCGGCGTAATGACGTACAACGTCCTCCACGACTTCTGTAGTCCTTTTCAGCCACTTGGTAACAACCATCGTTTTTCAGACACGTCAACTCTTCAGAAATCACCAGTGGGGTCACTGCTGATGGATTTAATGTCCTAGAACAAAACGTGATCTGTGTCTTCAATGTGTCTCAACCACAGACCTTATTTCCAGATATTTTCCCAAATCCTATGGAGAGATCCCATTGGCTCTGAGACCAGGGAACAGGAAGTGGTGAAATGCTGACTCACTTCCTGGTTTTAGGACTCGTCACTGCACCACTCTATAGGCTTTAAAAATAAATAATAATAATATTAAGAAAGCCTACGCTACGCCGTAACTCTTCAAACAAGAATTACCTCATGACCTTTAGCTGCCATCTATTCCGACTAATTTAATACACTTTCAATTGGGTTTTAAGGGAGATATTTTCACCAGACATCCGTTTTTAAACATGTCAGACTCAGTGTTCGTAACCTTCATCTTGCTGTGGCTTTATGATGGTGCTGCACACACAGAACACACACACACACACACTTAGTGACGTGCCGGCATGCAGAGGACGTGAAGGAGGCAAAAGCACTTCTACAGGGAACACAGGCCAAGATGCTAAAGGCAGATAATCATAAGCTTAAAGGCTTTTAAAGAAAAACATTTTACATATGCTTCTACTGACGGACACCTGCTGTGTGTGTGTGTGTGTGTGTGTAGCCAGTCAACAGCCAGCCGTGCTTCAGGTGAGAGGAGGGGGGGGTTATTTCTCTTACCTTTACCTGAGGAGACTGCAGCTTCTGATACATCTCTAACGAATAGTGATGGAGCCACACCTCCACGAACATCTGAGAACACACACACACACACACACACACACACACATGACAGAAGTTTTCAAAACCGTTAATGGTCTCTGGCATTTCCAGTCAAACGGCTACTGCGTGCGCGGCATTTATCAACAAAAAAAAATGGTCTGAGAACCACTGGTCCACAGGACTAGCCCCAGAGTGATTGTGTTTACCTGCAGCAGAGTCTCTGACCTCCAGATCTCCTGCGCTGCCGGGTCAGCGTTCACTGACGGCTGCTGGAAGATGTGATGCTTCAGGAGGCTGGGGCTGTGCACGCCGTACCCAGAGAAGGACACGCTCGTAGATCTGAGGAGTAAAGGGGGAGGAGGAGGAATTATAAAACACCTATGAAACAGACAGGGAGATACTTTACTCATCCCACTTTAGTCATTAGGACTAACTACACATCAGGGGGGTCCAAACTACGGCCATTTTGAAACCGCCCTCAGCTAATTCATATGGTATAATGGAATACGGCCCACAAATTAAACCTGTGCTTGTCATATATTGTACTAATTAAATATGTACAAATATATATCACAGTATTCATGTGTGCCCACTTTTCAAATTAATTAAATCAATTAAAGTTGGAAAGATTTTCAAACTAATCTTAGTTCAGATAAAAAGCACTTATTTGCACAACAAATCTTTTTATAATCAATCTGAAGCTTCTGTTTTAAGGAATGAGCTGCAAACTAAATAAATGAAACCCTAAGGAGAGCAGTGAATGTTTTTCTCGCAGCATTTTCAAGTATCAAGCTTAATTTACCTACATTTGATTGATTTTGCTAACTTATAACTTAGCATATGAGGCAAGGTATCTCTAGTGAGTAGCCCTTTGTATATTTTTCTGTATGTAGCCCTCGATGAAAAAGGATTGGACACCCCTGAACTAGATGTTCCCTTTCATCACAAAGGTTATTTTTTTGTGTATTTTATGGTCATCAATATGCGTCCACACCCCACAGATATTCCTGTATCTCTCTAAAGTGAGTACCTGGGTGAGGGAGCAGTGACGGAGCCTCTGGAGTCGGAGAAAGGCGAGGGGGGGACGCTGCCTTCACTGGGCAGGAAGTACTTCAGGTACATGTCCACCAGCACAAAGTAGGCGCTGTCAGTGGAGCTGCCCTGCTGCTGAGGGGGGGGCTGCAGACAGGGAGAGAGCTGATCAGTTCAGCTGTGAGGAACAATGGTTGCGGTCAAATTGTCACTTAAGGTTCCTAACGGAGTGAAATGACCCGGAAGTCCCTCAGTGGCAGCCATGATAAGAGCCGTTTGAATTCTCTAGATCAGGGATGGGCAACTTGGATGGTGGTGGGGGCCACATCATTTATGTACTGGCCACCAGGGGGCCGCAGATTCACTTGGAACACACACACACACACACACAAATTCCATGTATTGTATGTAATTATTAACAAATATACTAAGTCTGACATCTTCATTGACATTTTACAATCTTTCAGGGAACATCCTCTAATGAGCTCACTAAACAAATATCACTTCACAGAAATGTTATTTAATGTTTACAAGTGGCATGTTTGTATTGAACAGGTTATTTAACAGTGGAATACAACTATTTTAAACTATTGGAAAGCACGGAAAATGTGTGTTCATCAAGATGAACCATTAAGATGACATAAACATGAAGTCATGAACACTAACCCCAGACATTAGTCGTCTAACTTGAACCTAAGACACTTGTAGCCTCTGCTGACGCACAACAAGGGGAGTGTCACACAGACACCTGTCAACTCTCTGCTGTTCCTCAGCGCCGCTCCCCCTCCCTCCCGCTGACATTATGAAGTAAAGGCGTATAGTAATCATAGATAAGACGGCAGGGTCCGTGACAGTTTGTTTTCATCTGATTTCAAATAAACAAAGTCTTGGTTTTTAGAATATTAAACTTGTTTCGCCAAATTCAGATGATAAATACAACTTTGAAGCTTGTAGACATAATTACAAGCGGTAACTTAACGTCACAGCAGGCATAACAACAGCCGGTGCTTCTTGTGAGTGTTGCCCCGGGAAACAAACACAATACACACAAACGCGTCACAGATCATTTTGCGGTATTTGGCTGCCGAACAAAATCATGTACGCAGCTCGCAACGTAACTAAGACTCGAGTCTAGTGGACGGTATCAGTACTACAAGTATTAATTACGTTGTTTATAAATTAATCTGAGGGCATTTGCCCATCCCTGCTCTAGATGAAAGGAAAGGAGGTTTCAAACTTCCTTTATAACCTCCTTTAGCTTAGGAACCACTGGACCTCCCTAACCGAAAGGAGAGGAGAAAATGCTGCCCCACAATGCCTTGCGGCCGCAGCATTTGCCGTCACACAACAGTCGGCCGTTCACGAAAACAACCGATTATGAACGAGAAATGATATCATGAAAGTTACGGTGCTTATTAAGCATTTTAAAACGTATGTGGTAAGTTGCCAAAGTGCTTTGTTTTGAACGTTCATCAGTATTATAATCAAAAAGAGAAATATGAACGTTAGTTTTTACTGAAATGATCAAATAAAGTCAACATTTCACAGTCTTTACTGAGCTGTGTGGGGTTTGTTCAACTTTTAAAAGATGTTTGAATGGTGGCCTAACAAGTTTATACATTTGTATTTATTATAACCCCTTGACGTTTCACCCAGAGGTCAAGGAACAGTGGATAGGAGAAGACGATAGGAGCGGAATTTTGGACTATTCGACTGCAACCAATAGCCGCGTTCACACCAAGTACTTTGCTGCACTCAGTGCCGGCACTCAGAGCCCCGGCACTTATGACCCCAGGGCATTTAGTACAGATCGCGTTCACACCGGAGTACTTTTCCCTGAGGGAAGATTACGCAAATGAAGCCGCTGACGTCACTTCGTCTTCTTCTGCTTTGGCTTTACTGGCAGGCCGCAAACAACTTCACGGCGTATACTGCCACCCGGAGTCCCCGGCCGGAAGTCCCCGGAGTTGGGGAAGGCTTCAGTAGAAGCTGCTGGGACTCCCAGCAGCTTCTACTGAAGCCTTCCGAGTAAATCGCCAGAACGCCGACACCTCCTCATCTCCACCGCTCCCATGTTTTATTTTGTGTTGCCATAAGTTAGTCTCTCTGCGTTTGTGCGCTGGGCGAATGCTAATGCTAATAATGCTAATGCGAGGATAATAAAATGGCGGCTCTACAAAACATTTCAGAGTTGTACGGGGCGTGGTTTGCAATTCGCCCAGCCAATCAGAACTGGGGCACTTTTTTCCCCCAGGAAAGTAGCATCTCTCAGCAGGCACTAAAAATGGGGTTAAAAGTTCCCGGGATTAAGTGCTCTTTTTGGTGTGAACGCGACATAAGGGGTACTAACAGAACTAAACGCGAAAAGTACGGTGAAAAGTACTCCGGTGTGAACGCGGCTAATAATGTGTCCTGCTTCATCCCAACACAGCCAGGCACTGACAGCAATCCATTTCTTATTTATTTTAAGTATTAAAAAGTCTGCCAGGTTAAACATCTGCACAGCCCTCCACTTTAAAATAGAATGTGTAATTTATTTTGTCTATTTAAATTTAAATTCGGTGTAAAAACTTGAATGTATTCTTTTTTTTTATGCTAAATAACTTATTTTTGTTTTATAATAGTTCTATTTTTGACCTTCTCTTACATCTTATATTTTTATCAGATCATACCTGGCCATAAACTGGATTCCTAATCTCATAATTCTGTCTTCAATAGCCCACAACCTGGCTCAAGCTTTAGTGGACGAGCACGACTAAAGCTCACCATTTTCTAGACGCTGTTCATTGAGGATATCGACGATAATACATTTATACTTAGAGGAATGTGTAAACTCACCTTCGGTGTGATGAGGCAGTAGGCAAAGTTAAACATGAAGAATTCAAATGGATCTGGAAACAGCGTTAAGGAATAATCCTCAGTCAGTGCACGTTGTCAGAAAGACACGGGACATGTTTTGTAGCCGTCACATTTCAAATACAACAGCTCAAATGTTTTGTTGATCAAGTTAATGAGATATGTTTTTAAGCTACATTCAAGCTTGTCAAACTGAAAAATGTGCTGTTTTTCTGTCATGTGACACTGTGATCTAATGGTCTGATAAAACAATAGATTGTGAAGAGTGTGAAGGATACTGAGTGCCAGGTTCAGAGTGAGGAGTCCGCTGAGGGGGAACTGCAGCTTGTTGTGGAACAGAGGGCATTCTGGGAGGACGCCCTGCTGGATGCACGCCTTCACCGGACCCTACAAGGACAACAAACACTATTTACACACTATTTACATTAGGGCTGTGCGATTATGGCAAAAATCATAATCACGATTATTTTGGTCAATAATTGATATCACGATTATTAAATACGATTATTCATCGACTTTGAAAACATCCATTTATTGAACTTTTAAATACAAATAATAATTTGAACAGTATCTTTTTAACTGTTGATTACCCTGAACGTATAATTCAACTGAAAAACCAATACAAAAATAAATTAAATGATACATTTATATTTACATTTAAATAAATAATATCAAAATAATAAATACCAATAAACAAGATCAACAAATATTTTGGAGCGCACTTCCACAAGCTACTAAACATATGTAAATATGATAAATACAAATACATTAGATCAAATATGTTGCAGTGCACTGTCACAACCTAGCAAAGCAAAATAATCATTTTTTTCGATTATGTTGTTTTCGTAATTGTGGCAGGCCAAAATCGTAATTGCGATTAATTGCACAGCCCTACTTTACATTATACACTACATTTAGCTGCTGCTTTTACTCAAAGCTACGTTCAATAAGTGCTTTAACCCTGCTGTGTTTATTGCACATCTTCTCTTGTCTTAGGTGGAGCTTTGTGGATACAGTCAACAACATATAACAGCTACACATCTCCAACTATAACACATTTTTAAATATTAAAACAAATCTATCTATATATATATATATAGAGAGATAGATAGATACTTTATTAATCCTAATTTGGGAATTTATTTAGTTACAGGAGCAGTGTGTTCAACATTAAAATACAAATACTATCTATACTAAAGTGTAGAGAGACAATGGATGTTGAACGTATGACTAATTGAAGCAGGTGATGCAGTTCTTCTTACCGGGAGATAGTTGACGGGTATTTCATATTTGTACTCTTCTGCTTGAAGTTTGTACACCAGCTTCATCATGGGCCCACTGAAACAGATCAAGAGAAGAGCGTTTGATTCCTTCTTTCAATCAATCAATCAATGTTTATTTATATAGCCCAATATCTGTCTCAGTGGACTTCACAGTTTGTACAGAATATCAATACGACCCCCTCTGTCCTCTGACCCTCACATCGGACAAGGAAAAACTTCCAAAGAAACCCCCACAGTAAATGAAATAGAAATGAATAAGGGTCCCTCTCTCAGGACGGACAGACTGCAATAGATGCCGTGTGTAAATTAAAAAGATAAATCATTTACAACAGAGGTAGTCCAGATGCCTGAAAATGCATGTGTCTATAATAAGAACATGAATCCAGGAGGACGTCAACACTCCTGAGGGAGCCATCAGAGAACAACATCCCCCCCCAGCTGATCTGAGAGGGAAGGGGGCTCCGGTACCTGGGGCTGAGGAACTCCAGAGCGATGTTGTACTCGTGGCTCCTGGCCTGCAGCAGCCTGAGGTTCCAGCCCCCGAGGATCCCGTCCAGACTGCCGAACACCGTCTCCACCAGCCAGGGGAAGATCACATGCAGCTCCTGAGGGGAAACACACAGATAGGAAGCATCAGAAACTGGGAACGCACATATGAACTTGGGGATTGTCCATAGTATTGAGTGTAAGTAAGTTGCTTTGGGTAAAAGCATCTAAGAAGTGACATGTTATGGAATTTAGAGCAGGTTTAAGATTTCTTTTTCAGGATATTTTAACCTGTTAGGCCCCAAGCCTGTTTTTCAGGTCTCAGGCTCGAAAATGACATTTCCAGAACAAATGACCATAACTTCACTTCTAAAAGGGGAAAATGAATAATCTTGTTTCTCAAAGTAATGATAAACCTGTGAGTTGGATGCAGACAAGTCAGAATCTATATAGATGTTTTTTATTTTAAAGTAAATTCAGTGACCATTACTACAAATAAAGGAGCATTTCTTTAAACATCACTGTAAGATACATGTGAAGCACTTTTTAAATGATGTGTGTTCTATAGGTGTTAGTGCATGTAAATGGTCTGCAGAGGCTCAAATCCCCATTCCCTGCAGAGGGACTTTCTCTCAGACACTTTTTTTTTTTTCCCAGGCACCCCCATCTCCCCATATCTATATCTCCCCATATCTATATCTCCCCATATCTATATCTCCCCATATCTATATCTCCCCATATCTATATCTCCCCATATCTATATCTCTCTATATATGCTCTGCTCTCATCTCTCTCTATCTATATCTCCC